GGTTCTTGATCACACAGAGGGGCATCGAAGTCGACCCTTCCAAAATCAAGGCCATCTTAGAAATGCCACCACCAAGGACGGAAAAGGAGGTGCGAGGCTTTCTAGGTAAAGTGCAATTCATAAAACGGTTTATTGCTAAATTAACCTTGACTTGTGAACCACTCTTTGGTCTCTTAAAGAAAGGAACGAAGTTCCAATGGGACGGCCAATGCCAAGCTGCTTTTGAACAGATTAAGCAATACTTACAGAGCCCACCCGTGTTGTCACCGCCTGAGCCGGGGAAACCGTTGATTCTGTATCGTTCAGTGACTGAAACTACAATGGGCTGTATGCTCGCGCAAGAGTCTGAGGACAAAGTAGAGAGGGCTATCTACTACTTGAGCAAGAAAATGCTAGGTTACAAAACCCGCTACACTCCGCTGGGGAAGTTTTGCCTAGCCTTGGTATGGGCTACCAGGAAGCTGCGGCACTACCTATTAGCTCACTCCGTAATACTGGTTTCGAGATGGATCCCATCAAATACCTCTTCGAGAAACCAGCACTTACGGGTAGGCTAGCTCGTTGGTTGCTTCTGCTTTCTGAATTCGATCTAAAATATGTGATGCGCAAGTCAGTGAAAGGGAGAGCGGTAGCAGAATTCCTAGCCGATCACCCAGTTGAAGGGGATGAAGCAGTTGAGTACCTATTCCCAGACGAGGCCATCATGCATGTCGAAGACGAGTTTTGGACAATGTACTTTGACAGAGCGTCAAACCAATATGGGTATGGGATAGGAGTGCTGTTGATAACAACCGACAATTCCCGTATCCCTCTCGCATTCAAACTCCAGTTCAAAGTATCGAACAACGAAGCAGAGTATGAGGCATGTATTGCTGGTTTAGAAGCCGCCCTAGAACTAGGGGCAAAATAGTTAGACGTCATCGGGGATCGAACCTTGTTGTATCTCAAGCTAAAGGAGATTGGAAAGTCAAAGAAGAAAAGATGAAAATCTATCACCAAGCCTTGGATGTGATAATTCCTCGATTTGAGAAGCTAAATTTCGCTCATCTGTTAAGAGAGAACAACAGGTTCGCAGATTCACTAGCAACTCTATCTTCCATGATAGACATTCCTTTCGGAGTCCGGATGCGTCCGATCATCATCGAACTGAAGTTTCTGCCGGCCTACGAGCTGCTTGCTGCCATAGATGAAGTACAAGATGAGAATCCTCGGTATTACGATGTTTCGAACTTCTTGGAAAAAGAGGCGTATCCACCAAGAGCAAATGCCAAAGATAAGAAGGCAATTCGAAGAATGGCTGGTCAATTCATCATCTGCGGAGGAAAACTATACAAAAGAGGTCATCTTGGAATGCATAAGCTGTGTGTTGATGCCGAAGCATCGAGGCACCTGATGGAGGCCATCCATGGAGGAGAGTGTAGAGCACACATGAACGGGGTGATGTTAGCCCGGAAGATCCTTAGACAGGGTTACTACTGGTCCACCATGGAGGAGGATTGTAATTGCTTTGTCCGGTGATGCCACAAATGTCAGATCCATGCAAATCGCATGAACATTCTGCTGTCAAGGCTGTACAACATGACTTCACCATGGCCATTTTCAGTCTGGGGGATTGATGTGATTGGAGCTGTCACTCCAAAAGGGTCTAATGGACATGAGTTTATTTTGGTAACGATAGACTACTTCACAAAGTGGGTTGAGGCCCAATCATATGCGGTGTTGAAGGCTTCGCATGTCACCAAGTTCATCAGGACCAACATCATCTGTCGCTATGGGGTCCCGAACGAGATCATTTCAGATAATGGCTCTCACTTCAAGAAGGAGGTGATTAACTTATTGGAGAAGTACAATGTGGCTTTTCATAAGTCATCCACATATCGGTCGTAGACCAACGGAGTAGTTGAGGCCGCCAACAGGAACATCAAGCACATTCTGCAGAAAATGGTGGAAACCTACCGGGACTGGCCAAATATGTTGCCATTTGCTCTGTGGGGCTATCGGACTTCAATTTGAACTTCTACTGGAGCGACTCCGTATTCCTTGGTTTATGGGATGGAGGTTGTTCTCCCTATCGAAGCTGAGGTTCCGTCATTACTGGTACTAGCTGAGTGTCAGATAGCTGAGGCAGATTGGCAGCAGAGAAAGTTCGAAGACCTCATGCTGTTTGATGAAAGAAGGCTGAAAGCACTGTACCATGTTCAAGATTATCAACGACGGATTGCCAGGGCTTTCAACAAGAAGGTTAAGTCCAAGAATTTAAAGGAAAGGAATCTAGTGCTCGATGCACTTAGTGTTGTCACACTTGCACATTTGTCACTCATTGAGCACTCTTAAGAGTTGTGCTCTTTGGCCTCTTTGATGGCCAATGCATTGTGCATGCATGCCTTGCCTTTTGTGCCTTAATTTCATCACCAATGGCCACTGATTTGGGCATGACTGAGTTCTACCCTTTTGGTTTAATTCCATTGATTATGCCATGTATATTGCATTGAGTATGCCATCTTACATTGCATTGTTCATGCCAAGTTGTTCCTTGCATTGAGTATGCATGCTCCTAATATTGCTAAGTTGCCCTTATTGTATTGCATTGTGCATGCATGCATTAGCATCGTTTTCATATCATTAGCTTTGTTAAGTTGTTCATATTGCATTGCATGTTTGCATGCTTAAGTCATATTGCATACTAGCATGCTTCAGTCGCATTGTGTATGTCGTGCTTGCTTGCATTGTATTTGGAATAGGTGTTAGTCCAAACATGGGAAATGAGGGACGTTTCATACTTAAAGTGATGAAACGTGCCTCAAATTCCGGTCGCCGACGCTCCCGGTCGCCGGCGCTCTTGATCATACATGATAGAGTTTTAGGTTTTATGTGTTTACTTGTGCATTCATTTCATATTGAATTGTGCAACTTCGCCTCTCGGCCATCATGCATTGAAATGCGCGATTGGTGGCCCGAGGGTCGAGAACCTACACTCCCTTGAGTTCATGACATGATAGGGAGGGTGGTTGTGCACACATATCTTGCAAATACATTGCCATGCCCTTTCTTGCTCTCTGTTGCAGCAAATTGCAGTTCAGCAGCTACAACTGGTCGGCCAGCCAGAAAAAGTAGCTAGCCGACCACTTTTCTTGATTTTCAGCAATCAAAAGTGGTCAGCAGGTGTTTCTAGAGACCAAAAGTGGTCGGCCACCCTCCCACAGGACTCCCAAGGTGAAGTTTCAGCTTTCTGGAGCTTGGTGCAAGTTTCTGAGAACAAATGAAAACAGAGGCAAATCGGGGCATCGCATTGGATTTCCAAACGAGGCGACCGGACATGCATGCATTCCTCTACCTCTGAGGCTCCTGATTTATTACTTTTCTTAGCTACCATGCTTAGATAGCTAGTTTACGCTTTGGTTTGTACTTTAAATAGTTAATGCGTTTAGCTATTTCAATTTGTTTTGTAATAATTAGTTAACTAGGATTAGTTAATTAATTTATTATGTAATAATTAGTTTAAATAGCTTAGATTAGCTAGTTAGCTTCTTATTCGGTCTCTCCCTCGAGAGAGCCAATTGTTGTAAATAAGCGTGCGTGTGTGTGATGCATGTCTTCCAATCCTCATTTCTTTCTCCCTTTTACTTAACCATTTACGACGGTCAGTTTTAGGGCACGTTTTATTTAGCATACCTTATGCTTGCATGTTTGCATCCATTCATCTGTATTGCACGCACCAGGCTCGGCGGATCATACTAACTGCATTGTATTTCAATCCCTATTTGAATACATGTATCAAAGTTGCATTTCATATGCCATTCTAGAATAGCCGAGCCTATTTTAGCTGCATTTTCGCATGTGTTGCATTAGCCATCTTAACATGAACTAGGATCATGTATTGATTTCTAACTAGTTCTTTGTTTTGGCTCGGAGTACACTGTGAGTGTTTATGCTTTAGCATACTGCATGTGTGTTAATGTTGCCATGAAAGCATGCTTGCCATGAGGCTATTTCCTTACATGATTAACTGCCTGAATGCCTGTGGGTGAAGGTTGGATTACTTGAATTGGGACAATTCATTAAAATCTGTGTTTTGCCTACTTGCAAGTAGCAAATTTCAACCATTTCCAAAGAAACGGATATGCAATGGTTTGTTCCAAATTAGGCGATCTAGTCTATACTTGTTTGTTGTGCGCATCACATAGTAATTCTAGCTAATTAACCAGAATAAGAAGGCATGTGTTTTCAAAAAATCGATATCATGCTTAGTACAGGCCAATCTTTGATCGGGCGAGCGGGGGTGCTCATTAAATGACCTTCCCCAATCATACCCAAGTTCCCGAGCCGAGGCAACTTTGGTGATGACGGACACGTGGCCTTAGGCACGAGTCAGGGTTTCCTAAATTCCCCCAAAATGAAATATTTAGGTGGCGACTCTATATCTGGCAAAGCAGTCCACGTTTGGCGCTTCTTTACAAAAATCAGTTTTCCAAAACGATTTGGCAGATTTGGACTCTTTGGTGATTTATCGGTCTTGCATTGCACTTTGCGGGATTAGATTCAGAACTGTGACAATTGAGTCCGAACTGCAGAAGGCAATGCCCAAGGGCGCGTCTACACCTACGGTTTTACAGAAGAACAAATTGTAATAACCCGACCCTCATATCTGTTTCTAGTATATTTTCGATCTGTTATTCTGTGCATTTACTTGCTTTCTGTGAAAAGTGATTTATATCTGTGGCATTTTTACTAGTGTATTTGGAACCTCCCTATTTTATTTTGGGCTATTGATTGTGGTGGTAATATGATGGTAAAGTAAGATTAGATCAAAAACTTTAATTTGAATATTTTGGGCTATTGATTGTGGTGGTAATATGATGGTAAAGTAAGATTGGATCAAAAATTTTAATTTGAATAATTCGTTTACGACCAACCGTCACTCTTTTGCCCTTTTCTTGTTCCACACTTGGAATTTGGATGTGAGGTTAGAACCATTGGAAAGCTTATTTTTGGGGCTTCAATTTGGGCACAAGAATGACCTAAAACGGAGTCCGGATGAGAGAGTTACGCCTGTTTGAAGTTTTCATATCTGTGCTGGAAGCAGAACCGCACGTGCGGGAAATGCGGCGCACGTGCGGTGATGTGCGGGGCAGCAGCTCAAAAACTTGATTTTTGAGTCATTTCTTAGATTTTCTTTTCCTCTCTTCTTCTTCCCTCTTCCATGTCCGAAACCCTAGCTCCCAAAACCTTGATTTCCTCCACTTTTCTCAACAAATTAACCATGAATCTTGCATCAAGGATGGAGAATAAGAGGAGATCACCACTTTCTACCGAATGGAATTCCGAAATTTTTGAGGTATGTTGGGGTATGTTGGGGTTCTATTATGAGGTTTAGAGTATGGTTTATGGGTTATGGATCTAGGGTGCCTAATAAATGAGAAGATTTGGAATAAAAAGTAATGGGTTAAGAAGATTTCAAATTGTATTTGAAATTTGTAGATTTCTTAGAAACCCTAGGTTGATTTTTGATGATAATCCATGATTTGGCCCAAATTGATAGTTGAATCATGAAAGTGATAGGTTGAATTAGATGTGCTCAAGTTTAATTGGAATTTGGTTATGTTTGAAAATTATGTTTAAATTTTGCGATTGAACTTTGTTAAATGCATTGTAAATTATGTTTTAATAAAAGGGAAATTGGAGGAAAAGATTTATTGATAATGTGGATGATATAAATTCGATTATGGAATGTTGAAATGGAATTTAAGAATTCCTTTTGAGATATGTTGAATTGTGATGATTATGTGGGATGATATTAACTATGTTGATATTAATTTTTGTGACCTAAAATGTGAAGTTTTCAAGAATGGGTTTAATCCCAAATCATTTTACTAAATATTTGTAGGCTTGCTTAGTTATTAAACCAAGAGAATGATTTAATAGGATTTCATATGGGGACGGGGAAATGTTTGGTTTTTGGTGAAAACACTAGAAATTTAAGGAGTTTTGGGGAACATGGAAATGTTCATAAAAATCCTTTCTTACTTTGAGTAGAAGATGAATGGGTGTAAATTCCATAATGTGTTTTGTAAGACTAGTAATCTTATATATATATATATATATATTAAGTTGGAGAAGTAGGTTTGAAACTTCATGCTGCAAAATATTGTTTGCTCTGTTTTACGTGCTTAACCCTCTAGTATTTCTGGAATTTGTGTTTGATGCCTTACTGTATAAGTTGTGTGCACGTGTAGGGCATAACCTGAGAAGGACGAGCACCCCGTTATAGCACTGTGAGTAATAGTACTCTAATGCACATTATTTACCGTTAATAATGATTCTTATTAACATCTTGTTTCCCGTGGTCAATTAAGTTAACATGTATGTGGAACGAGAATTAGTGTGAACTTATGTAAACATTGAAGGATTTGGCACACACTAACATGATACAGATATCTACCTAAAGTGGATCATCAAAACGAATAATTGGATAAGACTACAGGTTGTTTTGTACGTTAATAACCATTATGAAATTATGTTAAATATCAGATGAACCTCTGAATGACTCAATCCGGAGAAAGAATTGAATGTCAATAACACGATTATGTGACCCACGTTATGATGTGAATGGCTCCACTCTTATTAATGTAATGGAGCATTTACCTTCTGTTTATTGTTAATAGTGTTGTTCTATTATTGTGGGACAATTATGTCACCTTATGAGAAACCATGGGAAAATCTAAGAGCATTACTGGGTACTACGTTCTGTTTATTATTGATAATGGATACTAACACACTGTTATCTGTAAGTCAGTTGTATGGATTTATAACGAACAAGGGGAATTTAAGTGTATTACGAGATTATGGTATTTGCATATCTCTGGACTCGTTTAATATGTAATAACATTCTGTTATCTGTGAACTAGAGGTAGTAATTCATGACAAACAAATGGGATGTGACTGCATTATGAAGTTCAATCTAGTAATAGTTGCTATTAGCACTCTGTTGAACGTAACGTAACTATGTTACCTCATGTGAATAATTGGAAGGAACTATGTGCTTCTGTATGATTTATAAGGCCGAGAGCCATTTGTGAAATATGAATCTATTTGTGAAATATATGAACTTATGAGGAAGTTTCCGGGCGAGACGAGTCAAGCATGTTTAACTATTTATTGGAATGGACGTGCTGAACGGAAACATCGGCATATTCTTGACACTACTCGTGCTCTCCTTCTCTCTTCTTCCTGCCCTGAAAAATTTTGGAGGGAGGCTGCCCTTACTGCTATATACACTATCAATTGTGTTCTTACCCCTATTATCCATCATCAAACTCCATTTGAACGTCTACATGGCACTCCCCCTCCATACATTAATCTTCGGGTTTTTGGCTCTGCCTGCTTTGTTCTGCTTCAATCCCATGAACACACCAAGCTTGAACCTCGTTCTCGTCTTTGCTGCTTTCTTGGCTATAGGATTGAACATAAAGGCTTTCGCTGTTGGGATCCTCCCATCAACGACATCCGTATCTCCCACTATGTAGTCTTTTAGGAGCATAAAATGTTTTCCTCCTTCTCCTCCTTTCACTTATCCGCACTCTCTCACTATGTATTTTGTCTGATTCCGTAGGTCCTGCATTTGGAGGTCAGCCTCAACTTTTAATGCTCGTCTTCCTTGTTAGCCTCTGTGTGTCCAAGCATTTGGGTGAAGCCTACCCGTTTGGTGAAGTTTTGGCTTAGATTCTGATTGTCTATAATATGTTGTAACTTCTAATGTTTTTTTTTATTATACGCCCAAACACGGGCGGGGTTGTATATGTGTATGTAACTATTATTATCTGTCTATTTGTGATCCTGGCATGATAGTGGTCGCTCAATGGATGTAGCTCTTTCCTTGCATGTTATTATATAAAATTTATGCTTCCACTCAGGCCCCATATGTTATATATAACAAGTTAAGTGTCCGTTTTTTTGAAATGGTCATGCCCAAACTTCTAGGGGCGGGTTTGGGGCGTGACACAAATCCTGTTTTGTACAAATATGGAGAATGGCACAGCATTCTGAGCACAAAACGATTTATTTTTGAAATTGAAATGAGAAAAGGGTTCTCAACCGGGTATTGAGCCTACAACTGACCACAGTCAACACGATTCAACAAACAAAAACAAAAGGTAAACAACCTAAACACATCGAGTAACACTCAAAACGACTCAAAACAAGAATCGAGACAAACAACACAACAAGCACGACACTCAGACGTATTACAAAGGCGAGAGACTTCTCAGTTCGCGAGGAGCTAGTTTCTTCGGGTATTGGTTCCTACCCTTTCTTATTTGTGATTCTCACATCACTCGGCCCTCAGGCTCTATTTTTTTTCTTAAAAAGCCCTTTTCTCACTTTTTCTCTCATTGCACATCTCTCTATTCTTCAATCTCTCATTTTTCATCCCTCCCCTGGGTAGTTGATAGATGAACAGGAAGTTACGGGCTCATGCCCCTAGCATTCCGCTAGGCTCTTCTTCCTCTGCTCACGACAGTGAACTTTCTCACAGTGGGGTTGTGCTATAACTAGGTGTACAACAAATCCGCAGCTGACATCGGTTGACGATGCTCTGCTGGGGAGTTTGGACGTGATCAAATATGTCCTGATGAGGGAGTGAAATATCCTACTCCATTCGAGTTCGTGCTTCGCACTTAGCTTGATACCTCGCTGCTTGGAGGATGAGAGAGTTTTCGGCCCTCTGTTGTTAGCTTCATTGTGCCCTTTTCTGGCAAGTAGAGTGCCCTTTCTGGCAAGTATGTTGACAACGGCGTAAAGACAGGAAGCCTGACTCAACTACGCCCCTAATTCATCATTTTGACCATTTTTTGTTTTGGCTTCTTACTAAAACAATTTTAATCAATATGAGAGTTAGATTAACATACTTGTTCGACTTTTTGATTCAAAATCATGCAATTCAGGTTATGAGCACTGAAAATTTTCCTTTTTTGGGTCCAAGAAAAGGTCCAGTTTTGGAAAAAATTGAATAATTTTCAAGAAAATTAGTCAACCTCAGTAAAAATTTTCAAAAACTATTTTTTCAAATGGCCACTGCTCAATGAGCATGGAACCTACTCTTGAGATGTACAACCTCAGATCCAAAACAATGGAAAATGCCCCTTTGTCTAAATAGCACTGCACGGCAACGAAAAGTTCTCCCTTGTTTGAACAGCACCGCAACACATTGTATGGCAATGGAAAGTTTCCCCTTGTCTGAATAGCACTACAGCACACTATATGGCAACGGAAAGTTGCCCCTTGTTTGGATAGCGCCGCAGCATACCGTAATCAGTCCTCAAAGTGACAATCACAACCGAATTCTTGGATACAGCGAAGACAAAGATGATCAAAACCTTTACATGGACACAATCGATTTGGAAGTGTTTATGGCTGGACTTCAGAATGAAGTTGCCTACGTATCCCAAACATGGGAATCAAGCCTTACGTAGTTCAGGTTAAGGTACACTCGTGTAATAACCCTCACCTTTTACGCTCTAACTTTTGCCAAGGCCGCCCTTCTGGGTTTTCAATCTTGCGAGCTTTGTTTTTCTTTTCTTTTCAATTCTTTTCATTTCTTCTTTTGTTCTTTTTTCTTTATTTTTAAAACTTCCATTTTTTTCTTTTCTTTTCTTTTTTTCTTGCTCTAACTTTTTCCTGGGCCGCCCTTCCGGGTTTTCAACCCAGCGAGCCTCTCAAAGGTAAAAGTGTAGCTCTGTCCATGTCAAATGGTTTTGAGATCCTGAAGTCATCTGAATCAAAGAGAAAGACTGCTGTTTGTTGACGATGTAGGAGTCCATCCAATGGGGGCTGAATTGCCCCTAGTGTTGTGGATAGGAACTCAGTTGTCCTTCAGCAATACTTTCTTCATTCCTCCCTTCTAGGATTTGGCATTCTTGCCGGTCTTCGTTAACTTGAGAAATGTCCCAATTTTGACTCTTCGAGCACATCTGACAATTTTGGCCCCTAGTTCAAGAGCTGCTTCTTAGCCAGCTTTGCAAGCTTCCTTTGATCACATCTGATCTTCTTGATATGACTTTCTGACCCCTAGTACGAGGGCTGCTTCGAATCTAGCCACACAAGCCTCACATTGCGATTGACCGTTGAACATTCGAAATCCAAGTTCAAGGTTTGAAAGCAAAAAGGGGTCGAGTCTCGAGGCTGAGAGTGATCCTAAGCTGCACAATCTCAAGAGTGATTCCACACAGGTCTTCGCAGGACGGCGCAAAACATTTTTTGAAATCTTTTAAGAAAGCAACAAATCGCTCGCGCTGAAGACAGTGTAGAACCAATCCCCTAGTGTTGTGGATAGGAACTCAGTTGTCCTTCAGCAATACTTTCTTCTTTCCTCCCTTCTGGGATTTGGCATTCTTGCTGGTCTTCGTTAACTTGAGAAATGTCCCAATTTTGACTCTTCGAGCACATCTGACAATTTTGGCCCCTAGTTCAAGAGCTGCTTCTTAGCCAGCTTTGCAAGCTTCCTTTGATCACATCTGATCTTCTTGATCTGACTTTCTGACCCCTAGTACGAGGGCTGCTTCGAATCTAGCCACATAGGCCTCACATTGCGATTGACCGTTGAACATTCGAAATCCAAGTTCAAGGTTTGAAAGCAAAAAGGGGTCGAGTCTCGAGGCTGAGAGTCATCCTAAGCTGCACAATCTCAAGAGCGATTCCACACAGGTCTTCGCAGGACGGCGCAAAACATTTTTTGAAATCTTTTAAGAAAGCGACAAATCGCTCGCGCTGAAGACAGTGTAGAACCAATTTGGGTCAAGCCAGAATCCTTCTCAGTACTCGTGTTAACAAACATGATCTCATTCATTAAGGGCTAAGCATGCCTCTCTTTCTCTCAATTGATCAAATTTTACAAAACCCGAGGAATTCCTCTCTCTTCGTTTTCGTCACAATGTTCAAAAAGTTTTAAAAAACTTAAGTCAATGCAATGACTTAAAGGCACAGAAGAAGTAGGTGAAAATGCATTGCCGTCTCATTCAAAATCTGTTGGCACAACTAGCGCAAGGCAGAAGCAAACACAAGAGTGCAAAAATTATTGCTGTTTCATTCAGATCTTCTGGTGTAACTGGCTCCATGGCAGAAACAGACCCAAAAGAAAGCAAAAAGACAAATACAAAACAAAATAGTGATATCCGAAGTAACACCCCCAGAATCACCCAACTTCTATGCAACAGGACTGACTCAATACAACAAGACAGACCCAAATGACATAGTGCAAAAAGACTGACTATATACAAGACAACAAAAACTGACTAAATACCCAAGTCAGAAAGTACAAAAACTAGTATTCGCAAATGATCAAAATAGTGCGTGCCAAACGCCACATTCGGAGTAAACTGAGCACAACCCCCAGGTGGTTCGTCCCTTGATCACATCACATTATCCTCCAGGTTCACTGATCCAGTGACGATAGAGTTTGCCGAGCTTATTGGGAGGATGACCCCATTGTCAAACAAATCCTGTACTTCATGGTGAAGACTGAAGCAATTGTCGATGCTATGACCAGTTTGTTGATGGTACGCACAGTACTGGGTAGCGTCATGACTAGATGGAAGACGACTAGGGAGAGGTTAAGGCTTGAGGGGTTTGAGATGCCCCTTTTCAGCAAGGATTTAAAGAGCCTTAGACAAAGGCATGTAGAGGGCATGCAAAACCCAGCGACCTCGGGGTAGATACTTTGAGGTTTGTGGATTTTTGCTGGATGCATTAGCAAAGGGGTCAGCAAGTGCTGGCTTGGTTATCTGATCTTTCCCGGATACAGAATTAGGGTTGAAAGGAACGGCTCTGGCACGACGGTCTTTCTCCCGATTTTCCTCATGGCTTGAACTGCCCTCGTTCTGAGTAACGAAAGTATCCTCCACAGTTTTTGTGGCAACTGCGAGCAATTGCTGTTTGTTCAGTCCCCTGGCTTTCAAAGCCTCGACAGCCTGTAGAAGTTGTTCATAGGGATCAGCGTCTTCCTTTGCCTTGTTCTTACCACTTACCTCTGCTTGGTCGAAGGTTTGGGTTGCCACCTTAGTGCGAAGCCCGGTTGTTGCTAACATGTCATTGCCGAAACTTGGGATGGCTTCAGGTTGGCTGAGCTCAATTACAATCCGCTCCAATAGCGGGGGCTCTTCCCGGCATGAAATTCCCGGCATATGACGTGGTTGATGGTGGAGCCGACATTCCGTAGGCTAGATCAGCCACAAACCTCTAAAGATCGCCGATCATTCCTATTAGTTCAAAAGTGGTGGGTTCACGGGTTTGGAAGAATTGGGGTTCCCAGATTGGATGTGCGGCAGGTGACCTAGGTGGGTGTTGCACTTCAACATCGGTCCCACCCTGCATGGTGATTCCCTGGTTTAATGTTGCTGCCATAACCATAATTTCTTCTGAATTTTGTGTCACCATGAGTCTGCTGAACTGAACAGAGGTGATGTGACTGGTGGCTGACGAATCTGATGAACCAATGAGCCTTGCCTGGCCCTTTTCTGCCTTGCCTCAGTGAAGGAGAACACTGGTTTCTCTGAACTGAATCTCTGAATTGAAAGAGAAAACAGGCGGCATTTCAGCCCAATTTCACTAGAACAGACATAAGAATAGCTGAATAACTGTATTCGACCACTGATCACTGTTCCCCAAATTACTACCCCAAAACTGAATCTGATACCCGCAGATATAATTGATTCTCAAAATACTAATGCCCGCAGGCCTGATACTTAGACTTGCAAACTAATACGTGCATTCCCTGTGGTGGCACACTCTAAAAGCACAAAGCCAGCAAATTAGAGCCAAAACACCCCTATGTTGGGGTAGGGTTTCCCTGTACTATTTTGTCAGGAGCTGGGGTTTCACT